TTTACATCCAGTAGCTACACGGGCAGTCTGTAAACACTGGATTGTTTACATCCTGTAGCTACACGGGCAGTCTGTAAACACTGGATTGTTTACATCCTGTAGCTACACGGGGAGTCTGTAAACACTGGATTGTTTACATCCAGTAGCTACACGGGGCATCTGTAAACACTGGATTGTTTACATCCAGTAGCTACACGGGGCATCTGTAAACACTGGATTGTTTACATCCAGTAGCTACACGGGGTGTCTGTAAACACTGGATTGTTTACATCCTGTTGCTACACGAGGAGTCTGTAAACACTGGATTGCAGGGATTGTTTTTGAGAGAAACATGTATACTGTTTATTTTATAATGGAACTTCCTCATGATGTCAAAAAGTGTTCAATTTAAAGTGACCTTCAAATGTGTTGAACTTGGGCAACCTTTGAATTAATGACCTTTCCACAGTTCTTCTTTTGACATAATTTCTAGTTTTACACATTAATTTGACTGATTTTCAATTGATTTGATGATCAAGATGCCTTATGTGTAAAAATATAACATTATTTATATGATCATTTTTAACATCCTTTTTATGTTCTGCAAGTTTTGTAACAAAATTATTCCTGTTTCACCAACATAAATTTTCAAATATGAAAATAACTACACATAAATTTTAAATGTTAATATCGCACAAACCCACAAAATTTATAGGAAAAAAAAATGCAGCAAAAATTACATAAACTGGTTTTTAATCTTGTAATCCACAAGAAACTAGGTACTCCTAAATTTAACATACACTATACACACCACAGAAAACACTAATGAAGTTCAACAAACTATTGACAAATTTATACAACACAGGCATGTTTAACAAACAAACCCAAGAAACATGAAGGAACCCTAACCACTGGCACTATCCTGTATAAAGAAAACATTATCTTTAACTCAAATTTGGAAACAATTAGCAAGTAAATATAACTTTAACATAAAGACTAGATCAATTTTCACCCTTGGAATGAAAATTATATAACCCACCATGAAACTTTTACAAAATACAGTTTAGCAATTATCTTTCCTTTTACATGGGTGAAGCAGGAAGTAATTTGTACACGAAGTAATTTGAACAGGTTAAAAAGACACCAAATGCCCCTTTTCCATGTACACGAACATATGAACAAAAACAACCACAGTTTTCCAACAGAATGTCACCATATTAAAACATGAACCTGCTTACAACAAATAGTCAGGTATGACTATATTTCTGATTTTTACTTCCCCAGATATTCCTTCCTAATCTTTCAAACATCTTTCACATGTTGAAATTCATCATTTTTTTCCTTTTCAGCTACAAAATAAATAAACTGTCAATTCATGCTTTTTCATATACACACACACACAAGTAACCACTATCGATTACGTAATTTATAAACATTGTCGTATTGTTGAATGTTGATTTAAGCACAAAAACCTTCTTTACCATTAAAACCTGTGTACTTGAGTATGGTCAAACTAGTGATCAAAATATTGTACCTGCTTAAATATATTTTCTTTCTTACTGTAAAAGCTGCAAGTTGATAGCAAGTAAATATTTTATTGTTTCTAAGTGTTAAAAATGCAGTTGCATTGCCTGTATATTTTCACATACAAGGTTTAGGGTTAAGAAAGTAACATAATTCTAATTATTGTGCCTCAAGTCTGAAGACAGGATTTCCTCTGACTTTTCATATTTTTTTGCTACTTGATACACATTGAAACACAAATTTGAAAGCTAATTTTACATGTCAATTCTAATGATATTTCAACAATTCTAACTGAAAAATATACTAAAACTGATATTTTATTCTTGGACATTTATTTCGGATAATTCACGAAAAATTTTTTAAAAATGTTCATACTTTCATTTTTGCAAAGCTGCAAAGAATTTTGACTATAAATAAAACAAAGCACAAGTAGATTTTATTTTTAGATTTTTTCTGCCAATCTCATAGAATAATTATTTTACTAAGAACCTATCACCCTTTGAAAATATATTATCCATTTCTTGATTTTCAAGTGTTTCCTTAGTTTTTGTACATTTCTTGGTTGAAACCTTGTAATGGTGCCACATCATGTGGTTTGATCATTTACCAATGAAACACAGCTTTGAAAACAGCTATAAAGAAAAAAAAAGTTTACATATGATTGGATAGAACAAAAATTAGATTATTACATAATGGTAGAGTAAATACACGTTAAGTTTTTTTTTTTTATAAGTTCTGTAAATGTTTTTTTTGTTTGTGTGTTAAACTATACTTCTTTAAAAGCTACAGAAATTTTCTTCAATAAGAAGACATCAGATGATTTGAGATAAGGTCAGCTTATAGAGTTTGGAAATGGGATGAATGTGTAATGAAGAAAATCATTACAGGCCTATATATAATGAAATAAAACTGAGAATTGTTTAAAAAAGATACCTTGCTGATGTTTAGTTCTTAGTTTAATATACTATGGTTTTATTGAGTTGCAATGTTTGTAAACATGTTGTTTGTTTGTTTTTGTTCACCATATAAAACAAATGGTGATAGTCAAATGTTTTTATTATTTATTTTTCTTTTTGATTTACAACAGATTTACTGCATATATATATATATATATATATATATATTAAAAATAAACATAATGGTGACCACAGGGTAGTACTTATTTAACATCAGCAATTCGTTTGCCATGTACAGGTTGTTATTTAAAAAACTTTTGGCAAACTATTTTTTTCTTTTTTGAAAAATGTGCAAACAGCAACCTTCACAAAAAATCTATCTTTCTCATATGTCATTACATTAGTTGTGCTTTCATTTGGCACTACTTTAGACATTGTTACTTTAGTAGCGGCCTGCTTTGGCACTACTTCAGACATTGTTACTTAAGTGATGGCCTGTTTGGGTACTACTTCATACATTGTTACTTTAGTGATGGCCTGTTTGGGTACTACTTCATACATTGTTACTTTAGTGGTGACCTGTTTGGGCACTACTTCATACATTGTTACTTTAGTGGTGACCTGTTTGGGCACTACTTCATACATTGTCACTTTAGTGGTGACCTGTTTGGGCACTACTTCATACATTGTTACTT